GGAAGTGGAATAGAAATTAGGCAGAATAGGCCTTGGAGAAGGGAGCTGACAGATGTAGTTTTCCTTTTAATATAAAAATTGGTTTTAATGTAATATTTTGCAACCTGGTTGCAATGAGACCATTTTCCCTAGCATTCCCAAACAAATGTCAGTTCTTGGTTAGAAGATAACCTACCTGCAGCAAAGGGCTCAGACTCTAACTGTTACAAACAAAATATTGGGGATGGAAATAATGTTTCTGCCTGTTACAGTTCTGGGTTTGGGGGACAACCATTGAGAATCCTCCCTGCATAAACCCTTTTGGCCAGGTCCTTAGTTCCTGCCCTGACTCCTTTGTGCTGCCTCATGCAGCAGATGAGCTGGAAAACTGCTGACAAGGAACTTGGGAACACCCTCAGTGTGAGAAAACCAGCTACCATAGCCCTGGTGTGGTCTGTTCTATGCCCCCCTGTTCTGGATCTCAACCCCTATTCTCAGCAGAGGGGAATCTTGGGTGTGGGAGAGAGAGTACAGGGTGATTTGCAGTGGTAATCTCCAGTAATGTAGCAGATCTTTGTTTTTCCCAGGATTAGGGGAGTATAAATGTGGCTTGAAGCTGTCTGTGATCTAACTGTTGTGGCGTGGGAATGAGCAGCATTACCATAAAGCATGGCTCTGGAGCATATTGTATATTCTCATATACAACATGTCCCCAGATAAGACATGTACCTTGTTTTGGGAAGGCAGAATGAAGAGAAAAAGATTTTTAAGAATTGTAGCTGAATTCTGTCATCATGGAACAGGAGCAGAGTCTACTTACCGGCATCATTCACCCTCCTGTTCCCACTCAGCCTAGTGGTTTAATCTTGTCATGTGGATGCTGCCAATTTGGCAGCAGCCGTGGTAGGGTTACATTTCTAGCTTGTGACTGCACTCGTCTATGCAGCCAGGAGGCAGCCAGCCCTGGGCAACCATTCCAGCATCCCCATGCTTCCATTCCAATATGGAAATTGACTTCCTCACTTAAAATCCATACCCAAGTTTTGGGTGGCTAATTTTGGGAAGAAAGCTGCATGTGGTATGCAAGTAAATAGAGTAGCTAGCAGAAAGAAGCAAACATAGCCATGGCAGAGAAGCAAAATCTGTCTGGCTTTGCTTCTTGGCTCGTCTTGCTTGGTTGGCAGTACTTTGACCTGATTCAAGGCACCTCAAACCAGATGCATTGAAATACAAGATAAGCAATTATGGAATTAGGTTGATTTAGCAACTGGACCGTCCCATATCAGGCAGATCAAAGGAGGAGCAAAACTAAGGTGAAGAAATATTAATGCTCATTTTAAAACTTTTTTTTTTAAATAATTCCAGGCTAAAAGAATATAACTGGGGTCAGTCAGCCACACTTCATCTACACTAAAGCTTTGTCTCCTCTTGAGAGAGGAGCTGATGGAAGGCACTCCCTGAGTTTAGAGAGAAAAGGTGTGATTGGGTTTAGTTGACTGAGTGCTGATGTGAATGCCTCTCACTGACATGGTCACTGGAATATCATCTCTGAGACCTGTCACTTCAGAAAGCTGTCATGTTAAGAGTTTCCCTCACTGACCAATCACCCTAACTCTGCAATTGTAAGTCCCCTCTCTGACCCTAGCTGAGACCCTCACAGTACTTCTTCCCCAGAAATGTTCCTGTCATCTCCCAGCTGCAACCTCCACTCTAACTCAGCATATCCTCAGCCAGTAGGTCAGCAGAGGATTGCCTGTTGAAACTGCTTTTACTGTGTCCTGCCTACCATATCACCAGTCTGATTTTGTTTCTCCTTATTTTGTTCCTCCTTTCCCAGGCCATGTTGCCCTTGCCTCCCACGCACATATATCCACTGGTGCTGACAGGGAAGGCCAAAAAATGCGGCTGATAGCTACACTTTTCATAGCCTTTGAGCTCCTCCCTTCATAACCCAGAGAGAGAGCTTGGTGTGAGTCACCCCATCTGCATTAGACATGTTCCCTGACTGTCTGCTCTCACTAATCCACAGGGGAGTTTGGCTCAGTTAGAGAAGCACTACTGAAGCTACAGGATGGCTCTTTCCAGAAAGTAGCAGTGAAAATGCTGAAAGGTGAGTACAAGCAGGGCCACTTGAAGTACTTCATCTAAAACAACTTGGAAAAATTCAGTTGATTACTGCCTCCTCTCCCCATCCAGTCTGTTCTGCCAGCAGTGCCAGCCTGGAGGGTGTTGATTCATTCATCCAGCAAACATCTCCATACCTTCATCCCCACTGCTCCCTACGCCTAAACTTGGGCACTTTCCACTGAGCTGTTTCACTCAGTTCTTCCCTTTTCCTTCATCCCTAACTTTTGAGAATATAAACTTGTCTGGGCAAGAATCATTCCTGCTTGGATCTTTATACAACATCTAGTATATGACAGAGACACAAAAACTAATTATAAATACTACTGCATCTACTACTGTGAAATATGGGGGATCCATCTTAGCTGCTTGATTTTATATCATGCTAAATTATATGGTAGGGATGGTGTAGTCAAGTCCACTTTGCCATACTCAGATAGCACTGCAGGACCAAATTCTGGAGAAAATAAGTTAAAAACTCTGGGCCAAATTTAGGGGCAAGGCGACGAGCAGTATAAATTCAGGTCAGTTGCATGTGACAGAATAGCATAACTTCAAATGATATTTGTTGGGTACAAAACAAGTGTAACTTGCATGTTGAGGGGCTGAAGCAAGAAAAGCAGCTACCAGGACAGTATAAAGCAGTTCTGTCCCAAACATACCTGCCACTCTGTCCCTATCGCTTCTGGAGCCAAAGTCTGTGGTGTAAGTGGACATAGGTATTTTTGTCTAAAAAGTAACACTTGTTTCTACCTGGAATATGATCTCCTTGAGAATCTTAGGCTGTTTAAATTATGTTTTGTATGTATGTAATGCCAAGTTAGTACTTTTCATTTACTATCATTTTTTCTGCCTAGCTTGCAGCCCTCAATCTAGAGACCTACTGAATTCAGCAGTGGCATCATTAGTGGGAAACATGACCCAATGAGCCAAATCCTGAGCTTATTTAAACCAGTGTAAATGTGGGGTAACAGCAGTATCGTCACATAAATGACTGTGGTTTTATATGATGTGATGAGATCAGAAGTTGTCTTAATGCATGACCTTCACTTCCCTTTTGAGATCTGTGCTGAATTCAGTCCAAGCTCTCCAGGGCTGCTGGTGCCAAAGAAATCATAACTCCTACGCATTAAAAGGATCAATAATACTAAAAGGTATAAAAGTATTGATTTTCCATGTCACCAGGGTCATGAATTAAATTGTCTCCATTTGGCCTGTTATTCCAATCTATTTAGTCAGTTGACAACATTTTCTTTGAACTTTTGTGCTACCTAAATCTCCTCCTCCATTATAATCAGGGATCCATGTTTTCTGTTTCCCATGGAAAAAACAGAAAAAAAAGTGAATTTTCAATTTAAACAGAAAAAAAATGGATTGTTCATTTTAACAGAGATACCCATGGATTTTCCACTTTTGCAAAGAGCTTTCTGCAGGCTGACAGAGTTCCAGCCTGCAAGAGCTTCTTGCAAAAAGGGTGGCAAACCCTGAGCCCTGTCCCAAAGAGGGAGAGGGGAAAGGGTGGGGCCTGAGACTGTCAGCGAGGGCTTGGCTCAGGCTCTCTTTCTCTGTAGCCTTTGAGGTAAGTGGGATATACAGGGGTCTGGGGGCCAACTGGGGACCCCCTCCAGGAGGGCTGGAGGACTGCAGATTGGGGCTGGGGGGCCCTGTGGGAGGGTGTGGGTAACTACCAGGGCTGTGGCGGTTAGGGGCTGTGGGAAGAGCCAGTGGGGCAGGGCGGGGGTGTATGGGTGGGGCTGAGGGAGCGGGGAGGTGTCTGTGGGAAGCCCCACACGGAAGGCCAGCTCAGCCCAATGACATGTAGATCCAGAGCTGTGTGCCATCGGGCCAGGTGGAAAGCCACACATAGAGGCACAGAGTCACACGCCATCGGGCCAGGTGGGCTCCTGCTTGCCTCCATGAGAAGCTACCCACTGGAGTGCTGGAAGTCCCATGTGGAGGCACAGAGCCTGCCTGGCCCCATGGTGCGCAGCTCCTGGGCCATGCACCATTGGGCTGGGCCAGCCTGCTCTGTGCTCCACATGGGGCTTCCAGTGAGAAGCTGCTCATGGAGGCATGGAGCCCGCCCGGCCCAGTGGCATACAGTTTCTGCTTGCAGTGGTGTGAGCCCCATGCACTGACATGGAGCCAGACCAGGCTGGTGTGAAAGCGTGTGCCAGCAGGCCAGGCGAGCTCTATGCCAGCATGTGCAGGTCCTAGGACTCAGCCAGAGGTGCGCACTGCTGAGGGCTCTGCCTGCTGCAGCCATGAACACCATGAAGGCCCACTGCCTGCTGCTGCCGAGCCACTGGCAGCGGGGGCTTTGCACCACAAACCCCACACCACCCACAACCCCCCCCACACACACACCCCCTACACACACCCCTTTACAACTCCCCCATAAGCCCCACACCTGCCCACAAACCCCACATACTCCCATACTTACACCTTACACAAACCCCATACTCTCTGCCCCCCTACCCCCCACACCTCCAACCGTACAAGGTACATGCATATATTTCTAAAGAAGATTAAAATAGTGTTATATTTAGTTTAATTTGTAAAAATAATAATAGTAATAATAATTAATTTGCATATTTTTGAGTTTTTCTGCACATAATTTTGAATTTTTTTGTACATAATTCCCTGGGGTGTACAGAGTAGACTCAGCAGAAGCTCTTATTTTCCATGATGAAAAACCCAAAATCAAATGCCAAAATATGTAGGTATTTAGAATTTATTTTATTATAGTGATTGAGGCACTGGTAGGCTTCCAAATTGCTTTAAAACTGTAAATACATCAAAAAACATTGTGTTCAGCTAAC